GATACCATTCCTGGAATAGGAAGCCCAGCTTCCTGGTGAGGTAATGACCCTCTAAGTATGGACCATTGAGGTAACAAAGGAAGTGGTTCTGTGCCAGAGTTGAGGCAGAGAGGGCGTGAGGCACCCAACATTTGTTAACATGGTGCAGTTTCAAATGTGTATATTACAGACACACAAATGCTCCAACACAGAGATTACATCGTATAACTTGTAACTTTCTACATGCATGTAGAAAGGGCATGTGTGCATATGCACCAAAACTCAACTTGGAGCCAGTCAGGTACTTAAGTGATAATCGGAGAAATCCCTGATCACGTGTCACTGCAGTGCGAGTTTGCCTTGCTAGGATGGAGGCATGCAGATGTTACCCAAACGCTTCTATTAACTTAATCTTCCTCGGAAGAGCCCTTCTGCTGCCAAGTGCTTAAGAGTGACATTCAGGATTTAGATGCCATTTTTGTTCGCTGCCGAGGACTAGTCATGTGTAGGAATTTGCGGGCCAGATAATAGGGCTTAGAAGAGAACGCCATGATAACAGATTACTTGCTGCAGTTGATGAACTACAATACAAACGTGAGCCAAAAGAGTGCCTAATCTCAAAGTGCCCTTTCTAACAACTAATTCTTAATTATTTCATTTGTCAGGGGGGCGGTACATGTGTGTTTCTGCTTTTAAAAAGCAAAACTAAAGTCAAGCAAAAGCTTCATACGCTGCTAAACGACATAGAACAATCTGTATTATCATTAATTGGTTGTGCCGTATTAATATTGATTGGTTATACTATTAGAAAAAGACAGAGAAATGCATTAAATCAAACAAGGGGGAGTTTTTCTTTAAAAAAGAAAAAAACCCAGTCAGAAATAAATAAAGTTTTAAAAGATTTATACCTTAACACAAAACTTTAAAACATATTCAGCACAACAAACGTTATCGGGCTCTGTCCAGTTGTCTTGGCATATGGTGTTGTCTAAGTAATGAAGCTTGCCTTTATATGTTTTTAGCTCAGTTGTTACGTGGGAGGAAATAATTGTACAAGGGGAGGAAAATACCCCAAAGAAAGAATGTTAGCAAATTTAACTTGTTATGGTCCAGTCTTCAGTTTTAAGCCTTCATAACTGATATGGTGAGAAGTGGAGCTCTTCACTTCCACCAGTGCGGCGGAGAGTTGCCATGGGATGAGGCAAGAGACAAAGGAAGGGAGCTTGTGAAACAGGGACAGTGAACCTGTGGCCCTCTGGGTGCTGTTGGACTCCAAACCGGCCCCCATAAGCCCCAGCCAGCATGGCCAATAGTCAGGGATGATGGGAGTTGTAGTCCAGCAACATCCAGATTCTCCACAGGTTCCCTGCGGCTGCTGTAATGCGACTGGCTGCCTCCCTCAGAAACTTTAATGTCATCTCCCCACACAGACCAACAAGGAAGACAAATAGAGAAGTGAGAGGGGAGTCCAACCACAACCACCACCACCCCAGAATGTTTCTGACACAAGTTTCAGACTCAGTTCTTTTTCCAGAATTAGTTGTAAGGTCACTGCAGTCACACACAGAGGCAAGAGAGAAGGTGTGGTTCTCCTGTGCCATTTGACTCCTGCCTTTTTAGATTCCTAATTTGATCAGGGTACATCATTCCCAGTTTACAAATGGAGAACTGAGACTGGAGGCTCATCCACACTTAACTTTTGTTTTCTAGGCACTGTCTGCAGAATCAGTGCAAACAGCAATCGGGATTCTCTGTAGAATTGTTTTCAGCAGTAAAGAGCAGGTTTTTGTGGGGAAAGTGCCAGGGCAGTTGGACACAGCGCTTTGAAGCACAGACCTGCACCTAGAAAGTGTGGATAAGCCCTGGCTTTGAATCAAATCATGGGTGAAATAGGAGTTTAATTCAGTTGTCCAATGCCTCTCTTTTTTAAAAATAAAAAAATCCCAATGGACTATCAAGCTGAACCATACAGGCATGTAGCTATGGTTCCCCTAACTCCATAATAAAAGACATCAGGTTATCTGGATGATCTTATTATCTCCTGCTGAAGACTGTAAATAGTTTTTTTGGGTTTTTTAAGTGCACTTTGCCGCATGCTTTTCTCATCTCAACATCTACAAGCAAATTTAGATTTCCAAAGCTAACATAAAGTAGAATCCAGTTTCCCCACCTGTGAATGATCCTAATGTTTTGTGAATGGGTCTCCCATGTGCACCCCATCTGTGCTGTTGTGGGAGGTTTTTAGGCAAAACAGTGCAATAACAAAACAAAAGTGAAGATAGGCTATACACTAACTGGCATATCTTCAAGTTACCATATAGTCCCAGTCCCAGTCCTGCAACTGTTTTCACATAGTACCAATTTCATGCATGCTGGTATGATAGTTAAACTCTGACCTCACACGTTATTCTCCATTCACAGGCTCTTCCTGATCAGATATGACTTTTTGCTGCAGGGGGTGGGGAGGACAAGATGGCGCTCCCCATTCCACTCAGGGCAGCCAACCAGACTGGCTATTTGATATTACTTCAACACAGGCAACAGGAAGCTTTCTCTGCCACACCTGAGCTCCACAAACTACCTTAGGAAGACAGCTATGTCCTCCTAGTGCCTTGATTCCATTTTCTGCTCCCCAACTTATGCTACCTGAGACAGTTACATACCTCACTCTTCCTAATGGTAGGGCAGGCTCTGCTTCCTGACACATGTTTCACAGAATACAGTACAAGGAAACTAATGGAACCATGAATATTTCTTTTAAGGCCCCTCAACAATCTGGGCTGGGTGGATGGGCTAATCTCTTCTTAAGGTTCTGCGGGGCCCTGAAAACTGGGACTGAGAATGCCTTTTTCATAAGGAAGTGGGGAAATAAATATAAAAGCCAAAGCATGTCTTTAAGCCTGTGTTTACACTTGCAGAGTGACCATCCAATTTCTTTGGCACAGGGCAACTGTACATCAGCAGCACCTGGGAAGGAAAAGGGTGGGAGGGAGGGAGGAACATTGAATTCTATGTTCCTTTCCATACATTTTCCCCCGCATAATAAATTCTCTATAACATATTCTTGGTAAGCCATCTTGAATCAAAATGGTGTCCAGTTGTACCCGAACAGAGAGGGAAAGCCCTGCTCACAGTAACCGTCGCAGAAAATTTGGTCAAAATATCTTCAGATATTGCTATGCAAATGCATAGCAAACAGGCAGCTTTCCACAATATATAGTAGATGAACATATGAATACCTTTGGTTGGGTGGATTCTAGCGGCAGGGTTGTCCCATTCCTTGGTCTTGGCAGGACCCTTCTGTCCCTAAAAGCTGCATGACAAGCAGAAAGTGAAGCATGAGGATGACTCCTCCTACTACAATTTATTACCTGCTCTTCACCTAAGGTCCCAGGCCAGGTTGCAACAATTAAAACAGAAAATCAATATTAAAACACAGTATTACACAATATTAAAAAAAAAAGCTTAAAACAACTTAAAAATGGGAGGGTCCTAAAAATATACATCTTAAGTGTCAAAAGCCAGGAATAAAGAGGTGCATCTTCAGCTGTTTCCCAAGCTGCACCTGGTGAATTTCAAGCTATATCATACCTGTTAAAGGCACAAGTGCCTGACACCTGTCAGGGAATTTGTGCCAGTTGTAGATCATGAACAACCCACCTGAAGCCATCATGCTGATTTTATGAAAGCTTTAAGGGGGGGGGTGAGCTGTAATTCTATGCACATTTATAGGGAGTGAAACTCAGCAAGGCTTTTTTTTTTTTTTAAGTTAGCATGTTAGGCTTCACAATGGTATAGTATATCTTTGGTATAATGTTCACTCTCAGAGCAATTTCAAAACTGCAACCCTGGATGAAATTCTGCATTATTCCGAGTTTTAAGGCATTGTAATAAGGAGCAATCCTTAATACAATTTGTGGTGTTACACTCCAGTACCTATAATATAGGGCAGCCTATTCCTCTCCCTGTTTGCCCTATAATATTTAATCGCCATCTTTCATTGGTGTATCAGTTTGATGTCCTCCAGAGATTTTGGGCTGCAACTCCCTTCATCCCTGTCCATTGACTGATGGGCACTGAAGTTTGAAACATCTGGAAGACACCAAGTTAAAGAAAGTTGGCTTACTGTGGAAATAATATATCAGCTTAGCCTCTATAATATAGTCTGTATTTTAAAAAATATCAAACTAGCATCATATTGGGAAATTTTATCTTCTGCTGATTTTTCTAAATTAATAACTTTTATAATAAAAAAAGAGGAAGGCTATAATGGGAACAGTCTGTTGCATTTCATCGACCTCAGCGTGAGAGTTGATTTAACATTAGCAGTATACAGAGCATCCACACACACACACACAGGAAAAAAAATATCATACAGGCTGAATCCTGAATTCCAGTTTAATTCAAAACGACTTGGCAGAAAATCTCTAGGCCACCAAATGCTATTATAAAGCACTGCATTCTCATTAAAGGTCTGAGTCTCTCTTCCCGCCCCCCTCCCCGAGGGCAGGCTCCTCGTGAGGCTGTCCCTCTGGCATAACATGTGACAGAGCTAATCTGTCTTCACTTAGACAGCACTGCAGATATGCAAACCCAGGTGGCACTAATAGGTTTATGGAATTGGATACAGTATGTTACACTGTGAGAAATTCCCATAGATCAATTCTGCAGTGAAGGTTAACCGACAAACAAGGGACCGTAATATTCTCCCCTCCCTCCCTCTCTCCCTTTTCATGGGCCTGCTAACAATTTTATGCTTTTAAAAATAAAAGCAGGGAGATTCTCCCATTCTAGAATAGGGTGGGGATTATTCGCTAGGTTTTCTGTGTGCGTATGAAGAAACTCAGAGAGAGAGGCAAATCCTGCTTTCAGGTATTGTAATTCTAGAACACATTCGCCCCCAGTTAAGTTGACTAGCAATACAACTGTTCTCTATGATTGCTGGAAAGGGATAGATAGGGTCACTTGGAAATCTCCCCTCTTTCAGAGCGGAATCGGGATTTTTGCTGCTGTTCCATGGCACAGAGATTCTACTGAGAACAAAAAGACTGCTGGTCACATTCTACTACAATGCAGGCAATCTCCTGGACCAGGAAGGCACCTGATAAGCAAGGAACAGTGAGATCTTCTTATTTCTTATGCACATGTGTGAGGGGGGGGTGAGCGGGTTGTGGACTATGTAGGATGACATCATATAGGAAAGAGCCATAGCTGAATGACAGCACTACACAAACTAAACAAAAGCTCTGACTCATTACAAGGCCACGTTTCATTGTCGTGATCACCACATATGGATTGGTGCTTTCTATACATGGCTAATGGGAGGGGCATTATTAGTGTGAAACCACGGAATCGTAGGACTGTAGGGTTGGAAGTTGACCCCCCCAAGGGGTCATCTAGCCGAACCCCCTGAACACAGGAATCACAGCTGAAGAATCCCTGGGAGATGGCTATCCAACCTCTATTTAAAAACCTCCAGGGACAGAGAGTCCACCACCCTTCAGGGTGGTCCATTCCACTGTTGAACAGAGCTCTTACCGTCAGAAAGTTCTTCCTAACATATAGTCAGGATCTCTTTTCTTGTAATGTGAGTCCATTGGTTCGGATCCTACCCTCTGGAGTAGCAGAAAACAAACTACCATGTGGCACTCCTTTAGATACCTGAAGATGGCTATGTCAGTGGTCTACTAAACCCCCCTAGATCATTTTCACATTCACTGCTGTCAAGCCACCCTACATTTGTGCATCTGGTTATTCCTGCCTAAGTGTAGAAGGAGGAGTTAGCAGATGATGATGATGATGATGATGATGATGATTACCCTAGCCACTCTGGGCAGCTTCCAACATATATAAAAACATTATAAAACATTACACGTTAAAAAGCTTCCCTATACAAGGCTGCCTTCAGATGTCTTCTAAAGGTTGTATTATCTCTTTGACATCTGATACCAGGGTGGGTGCCACTACTGAGAAGGCCTGGTTCCCTGTAACTTCACTTCTCACCATGAGGGAACCACCAGAACGCCCTCAGTGCTGGATCTGTGTCCCGGCTGAACAATGGGGATGGAGATACTCCTTCAGCTATCTTGTCTCTTGTTCCCATAACTGTTCTTGTGCTTTTTTTTCTTTGCTGCCAGAAGTACCGAAGATCACGACTAAGCTATGCTAGTTTGAGACCAACCTAACAGCAGCTGGCACAGAGGAACTGTAGGCTTGGCCTGCCTGTTTATCCTGATGTAAACTCAGACGACATCAATAAGAGACCCACAGACAAAGGCAACAGGTGAACAATATATGAAACACCTCAGTGGGAAATCTGAATGAGGGCCTTATCTAATTAAAGAGGGCATTGCCATGATTACCTGAATATCAGTCTAATTATTATTAGAAAGTGCATATTCACAGTGGAGGATTTTAGGCTAAAAAGTTGATGAGCTGATCATTAGCGGTCATTTAAAAATCCCAAGGCACCCTTTGTATGATGAGTGGTTTTAATCTCAGGATCTTGGCTGGTTTCCAAACATTGGTAATAAATTACATTCCTCTCTTCCTAAATTCCCTGTATTTTACCCCAGAGATGGACAAACTTCCACTGACAGATGAAGGCTTTCATCCACATGAATTGCAAACCTTTAATATTGGTGTTGGGGGAAATGCAAAAAAATATTCATAGCTTTGGGGAGATGGGGGGAGGGTAGCAACTCAATAGTCTAAGAGTTCAATCCTTCAGTTCAGTGTGGGAATTCAAAACTGGGCATAGAGGTTACACTCCCCACAGTCATTGCTCTGTTTATTTAAATAGAAAAAGTTGTTCTACACACAGGTAAATTTGCATACAAAATTGAGCTGCCCCCTCTACTGGAGTTAATGAGGCAGTTTCTGTGCACATATTTTCTTGTGTTCTGGGCTAGGGGGTTGGCCTAGGAATTGTAGAATTGTACAGTTGGAAGGAACCCCCTAAGGGACATCTAGTCCAACCCCCTGCAATGCAGGAATCTCAACTAGATCATACATGACAGACAGCCACTCAACCTCTGCTTGATAGCCTCCAAGGAAGGAGAGTCCAGTACCTCTCGCGGGAGTCTGTTCCACTGCAAAACAACTCTTACTGTCAGAAAGTTCTTCTTGGTGTTTAGTTGGAATCTCTTTTCTTGTAACTTGAATCCATTGGTTCGGGTCCCATCCTCCAGAGCAGGAGAAAACAAACTTGCTCCATCTTTCATTTGACAGCCCTTTAGATATTTGAAAATGGGTATCATATCTCCTCTCAGTCTCTTCTTATCCAGGCTAAATATACCCAACTCTTTCGACTGTTCCTCATAAGGCTTGTTTTCCAGACCCCTCATCATCCTGATCACCCTCCTCTACACATATTCTAGCTTGTCGACGTCCTTCTTAAATTGTGGCACCCAGAACTGGACACAATTCTCCAGGTGTGGTCTGACCAAGACTCTTTAAAAGATTTCAAATGGGCAGATCACCTGACACATGGGCAGAAAAGTAAGATTGCGGTCTTCAGTTTTCAAGTACACAAGGGTATGAGAGAAGCGGGAAAGCTGGGTTCTCAAAAGAAGTGAAGAACCCGCTGTGGTGATAATTGTTGAAGGGGACAGTCTTTCTTCATCCCTAGTTACACTTTGAGAATGACTGAACAATGAAGACTGTTTCCCTCTTTCAAGGCTAACAATGTCACTGTTAGAGAATGTCCTTTTCTTTAAAAAAAAATGAGGGGGAAGGACAAAATTAAAATGTGGGGAAAACAACAAGTGACTATGCCGCCATTCAAGGACTGTTATTAATCTGAGAGATAACTACAGAGACCACAGTGTCACAAGCTTCCCGCTCACCCTATTTCCCACAAGATGGAACACACTGCCCAGTCATGCACAAGGCCGAGACGATGCACTTCTCACTGTAAATTCTCCCTGTTTTGTCATTCCACAAAAGGGAATGTGACCACCAGCTTCAGCCAAAAGCACGTGCCTCTTCTGTAGACAAACAAGTTAAGATTTTTCAGTCCTATTACCAAGAGGAAGCAGGAGAAAACAATAAAAAGACGAAGGAGGCAATGTGAAAACACCACACACAAATGTAAAGACTTCATAACAGGGTGTAACAGCTACAACTGCTCAGAGACTGAAGGGTCCCTGCCATCCTGGATCATGAACTTCTCTTACACAATTTTCCTTCCATTGTGATGCCTCCCACTTTGAAAGCCTACTCATCTTCACATTTGAAGGGTGGCATATGGGAAGAGGGAAGTGGGACAACGAGCTCAGAATAACTTATGTGGCAGCAACTGATGCAAGATGAATTCTCTCATAGAGCGATTGTTATTTCCCCCCTCCAGGTTGTCCTGCAGCCGGCGCCTCAGAAAATATTTGTGGGGCTTCGCCACAGCTGCTGTTTCTGCCCTCTGGTAACTTATCACTGGCAGCTTTGCTCTGAAAAACACCTTTGGTTTCAATCTTCTGAGGCATGGTCTACACCAGGGGTAGGGAAACCTCAGTGATGCTCAGCGCTGGGGAACCCAGGTGCGCAACAAAACCTACTTATGACACCCCACTCAAGAGAGAGCATAAAGCCACACAACCAAACACCAGATTGCTAGCAGGGGTGCGAGTCGGGACAGAATGTAATGGGAACAGTCAAATGGCCTACTAAGAACTAAATTTGCTGTGAGGGAATTCTGTGAGTGATGACAGATGTTGTGGGGCATAGAAGCTGCCTCAGTATGATTGTATTTCATTTCCTGTAGGATTTGGGGGGCCTTCTGAATTAAAAGGCAGGATAGGGATCGAATGAGCAATAACAAAATAGGCTGTTCAATGTATGAGGGCTCTATCACTTCATTTACGTGTGTGTGTGTCTGTGTGTGTGTAAGAGGGGGGAGTGAATTTAGCATGAGGCCTATGGAGAAGTTGTTGATTTCTAGTCTCTTTTGTGTAGAGATGAACAACGTGAATTAGATTTTAGGATAAGAAAGATTTACCTTAAAAGCAGAAACAAAACAGCAATAGCTAAGGAACAAGCAAGAATAGACTAAAACCATCCCAAGTAAAAGATATATATTTTATTTTCTTACTGGGGTGCCATCTTGATTTTCCTCCTCAAGCACCACAATGTCTTGGACCATCTGTGGATATCTGGAGGTACCCTTGCATCATAACCCTGTGCTAGCCCTCTGCAGATAAACAATCTCCGCCAATTTGATCCATCTCTTTCCGAAAGATGCTGACAGAGAACATTAAACAAAACATCAGAAGAAGAAAAGGCAACTGAAGAAAAAAGACAAGCTTGCTTCACATCAGCATCAATTGGCCATGCTCCTTTGACACTTCCTTATTTTCCAACAAGCAATTTGATTTCGCTCTACCTCAAAGCAAAGTCATGGGGTTTCTTGAAAAGAAAAAGAACAACAAAGATTAGTTATTTTAATGTATTTAACAATGATTTCAATGAACAAATGAAACGATGAATTCTGACTTTCCATGTCACTGTTGCCACACATTTCAGTTTATACATCGGAGGCTCTCTCTTTTTTCCAATTTATGTGGGAAAGATAGGGCAGAACAACATCCATAGTCTCTGCTTCCAACCCTACAGAAAGATCACAGGTCTGTGGGTCAGGTGAGACCCCTATCTGGACTGAATGAGACCCCCTATCTGAAATCCCGGAGAGCTGTAGCCAGTCTGTATATATAGACAATATGGAGATAGATGGACCAACGGCCTCACTTAGTATTCCAGTCGTCTTATTTATTTTATTTAACAAAACTAATATGCTGCTAATATGCTGCGAATAAACCTCTAAGTGGCTGCAGCCTAAATCGGGGACCCCAATCACACAGCCTACACATGTACTCTCTCTGCCTTAGGGTGCAGAGTAAATTTCATTCAGCTCAATGGGGATTGCTTCTAGTAGACAAGTATAGGATTGCACTCTAAATTCATCAAAATGTGTTGATCTGAGAGGCAGGGAGAGCATGCATAACCCCAATGCCACACACATTCCATGCACACGGTATTGTGATGTGCAGAGAGCCCGATTGCTAGTATTTTCAAAGTTTTTTGCTTCAGTGGAATGAATATGGCAAACTTAAGATGCCACTATCAAAACAGGCTAGCAGAGTACAGCTCAGGGGTCAGCAACCTTTCTCAGCTGTGGGCTGGTCCACCGTCCCTCAGACCATGTGGTGGGCCAGACTATATTTGGGGGGGGGGTGAACGAATTCCTGTGCCCCACAAATAACCCAAGAGATGCATTTTAAATAAAAGCACACATTCTACTCATGTAAAAACACGCTGATTCCCGGACCGTCCGTGGGCCGGATTGAGAAGGTGAATGGGCCGCATTCAGCCCCCGGGCCTTAGGTTGCCTACCCCTGGTCCTATATAAGAAGACGCAAAATAAATACAGTATTTGCAGCTTTAAAAAAAATTATTCATGCAAAAGTGTTAGTCAATAAGCTTTTTTGTCCACATTCCTAAACAGGAAGGCTCATGAGAATTATAAAGCCACCATTTAAATTTTCCACAATGTCCCTGATGCCACGTCTCTCGGTGATATTGTGGGAGATTAAAACAGCGGTTAGGCTCAGCTGCCCAGTGCTGCATGAAGCACTGCCACCATCACGAGGGAAACCCACCAGGTCCACTGACTGAGTTAACATCACACATTGCCTTGCCTATCAAACTTTGTCCATCAAACTCGGAGCTGAAACCCTGAATAGTAGAAGGAGTACCATGAAATAACACATGCTCTTGAGGAAGACACACTTGTTATGCAGTTTCTCTGTTGACCTGAGATTCCTTCTTTAATTGATATGTTTTAATGGGATTAGGGGACGCAAGTGGCGCTGTGGGTTAAACCACAGAGCCTAGGGCTTGCTGATCAGAAGGTCAGCGGTTCAAATCCCCACGACGGGGTGAGCTCCCATTGCTCGGTCCCAGCTCCTGCCAACCTAGCAGTTCGAAAACACGTCAAAGTGCAAGTAGATAAATAGGTACTACTCCGGCGGGAAGGTAAACGGCATTTCCGTGCGCTGCTCTGGTTTGCCAGAAGCGGCTTAGTCATGCTGGCCACATGACCTGGAAGCTGTACGCCGGCTCCCTCGGCCAATAAAGCGAGATGAGCGCTGCAACCCCAGAGTCGTCCGTGACTGGACCTAATGGTCAGGGGTCCCTTTAATAGGATTATTTCATTGAGTGTTTTAATTAGGAAAGTTTATATGAGATTGTTTTATCGTGTTTTCTAACCATGGTATATTTTACTATTATCCTTTGTTTTAATAAGAAGCCATTAAACAATACATACATTTTTAGCAACAACAACACCACAAACTTTTCCTGAGGTTTTTATTATTATTTAAAAAATGGGGGACTACTCAGTCTCCCATCTGCATTCTTAAGTGACTGTAGTGGGGACAGGGGTGCTAACTTGAATAAAATATTGGGGGGGCAGGTAACCAGGTGAGCCCAGCCCCGCATAATCTATCACACGCACACCACTTGAATGGCAATGCCCATCAAATTTTGGGGGGGAGCAGTCCCCTCAAATATTTTATCGGGGGGAGGGCAAAAGCCCCCAGCCCCTAGGAGTTGTCTAGTATGAGTGGAGGGTATTCAATGTGCTTTTTCAGAATGTGCAAACTGATCCACAGTGAGTTTCACAAGGTCAGGAGGAAGTGTGAAACAGAAAGAGGCGTGGAATAAGCCTGGTCGCTATCCTACAGGTCGACACACAATCACCTTTGTCTCTGAGTAATTTCCCACCACTGACCTTTATATCTCTGAAGGGACAATTGTGAAAAGCAAATATTTGGGTCAGATTTGTTCCAAGGACTTAAGATGCCTTGCTTTGCTTTCTGTATTGTTCACTCAAGCTTTTATCAACATAATCTGAAGGAACATGAAAGCTTCGCAAAGGCTCAGACTGTGCCAGATTTGGTAAGGATTTTATCTGAAAATGGAAAAGACAATGGCGTGTAACCAGTAAGGTAATTTCCTAAAGCTGGTCTGATTCTAGCAGGAGATTTCCCGCCCAGACGTTCCATTTAAGGGAAGAGTTAGGGCACCCACATGGGTGGGCTCTAGATATGTGGGGCCCTTAGCCCTCCATATCCCTCTCCTATGTCAGTGCTTCCTGGGTAAACTTCAGGCTTAGCAACTGGCCTGGGCTAACCTACCATTGTAAATTTCCCACAATCCCCTGGGGCGATGCTATGATGAACATTCCAGGGCATTGTGGGAAATTTTAAATGATGGCTTGAAACCACCCAGTGCAGGGGCCCTAGAGAACCTGTTGCCAGTGGACCCTACCAGGGCGACAGAGCCCTGGCAGTTGCGCAAAACTGCCAGGTAGCATCAGCAGTCTCGATACCCACTTAACTTCCATGCCACATAAGCAGTAAACACATTCTTCAACAGTCTTCCACAGCCTGGCACCCCCAAATGTTGTTCGAGGCCATCCACACAAGCCAGAATGACTTGGGTTGCCATATTTCAAAAAGTGAAAATCTGGGCACAAGAGTTATTGAACTTTTTCTGCCCAGACGCTGTTTATGGGGGGCAAATCCCGGCTATGTCTGGGAAATTCCAGGCGTATGGCAGCCCTAAGAATGACCAATCAGGGATGATAGGAGAAAGTTTGACCTCCAAGTACCCATGCATTACCTTAGCCTTTCCATCCCATTTTCTCTGGACCCTGAAGTTGGGGGTCAAAGGTATGCCAACCTTTAAAAAGGTATATACTTTTAAAATTCTGAACTGATACACCCTAGACTGTGCTCACAGTTCTTAAACCTGCAAATGAGGAAAGTTCCAACAGTTCATTTGAGTTTTCATAATCATACCAAACAAATGTGTAGGGTACAAATAAAATTATTATTATTATTATTATTATTATTATTATTATTATTACCTACTGCAACCTTGACACAAGCGTCACAACAGCAACACCAGTGACTAAAGCATGAAAAACAGGGAGCTGGTTTCATATAAATGAATTTGAAAATGAAAGATTTAAAATTGTAGATAAAGGAAAATTACTGCATTTCCCCACCTCTCCACACCGACCTCCCAATATAGTCTTAAGGGGCCAGATATGAAGTCCTACACATATATTATACTTTATAATAGAAAATGATACATTTTTTAAAAAAATCAAAACTTAAAAATACCTTATGCATAATGATTTCATTTGACATCTACAAGCCACCATCATAAACATTTAAATACTCATATAATCATAGCCATATGTGGAGCTATTCTCTTTGCAGCTACTTGGGAGACATTTTACAGAAGTCCCTACACATTATTTGTATTAACGTCAATTAGGTGAACAACCATAAAAGCAAGTGACATTTTGAGAAAATACACAGAAGCCTAAATTAATAACACGGGGCACAATACAGCTTGAGTTAGCAGCATAGTACATGAGGCCCATTGGAAAGGATCAGAAGGCACTGCCTTGTGCTGAGTTAGTCCATTGGCCCAGCTCAGTAGTACCAACACAGGCTGGCAGCAGCTCTCCAAGGTATTCCCCAGCTTTACCTGGAGATTCCAAGGAATGGACCTGGGACTTGCGTTCCACCTCTGACCCTTTCGATGGGAGAGATTCAAGCATATAGAACATAGAATTGTAGAGTTGGAAGGGACCATGCCATATAGACCAGGCATCCCCAACCTTGGGCCCTCCAGATGTTTTGGCCTACAGCTCCCATGATCCCTAGCTAACAGGACCAGTAGTCAGGGATGATGGGAATTGTAGTCCAAAACATCTGGAGGGCCCAAGGTTAGGGATGCCTGATCTATTCTAGACCCCACAATGCATGAATATGCAGCAGTCCCATACAGGGATCGAACCTGCAACCGTGGCGTTATCAGCACCATGCTCTAACCAGCTGAGCTATCCAGGCTTGTTTAGCTCTTCCTTTTTTTATTAGTGGGACTTTAAAGTGCACAATTCTAGCCGCATCACACTGAAACATTAAATTAACTAACAAAATGTTGTAGGCTGATGCAGCCTCAGAGAGGCACAAAGGGAAGGCTAGCTAGATGTATTGATATTATTTTGTGCCCCGGGCCTTATTCCTGATGTGAATGGTACATGAATTGCTTATTACAGGCAACAACTATTATTATAATTATTTATTTGATATATACCCTGCCCTTCCTCCACAAGAAGTCTAGGGCATCACGCAGAACAACTATAGGTTAGGGAAGAGAGACAACCTCATCCCTAAATGGGTGTGCGGGGGCTGCCCCCACATTTTTTCCAACGCATTTCATTCCCTCCTGCCTTGTTCCCTCTGATTTTCACTCGTGTTCCCAACATTCCTGTCTTTTTCTTTCGTTCCTTCTCCGTTGTTTCCCTGCCTGCCGGTTCCTGTATTCTCTTGGTTCCTGAAAGTCCAGGGGCAGGTGAGGGGCAAACTGCTTGTGCAATAAGAGAGGGGCAAGAGAGAATAAACCCTCCATTGAAGGCTGGGCTTCAGCTTTTCCTTGATCTCACTGTTGAGTAGCCCTTGCTTGTCCACCCAGCTGTAAACAGATGCTTAATCCACTGGGATTAGGAAATCAAAAGGCGACTTCACACGGTGAGCCTCAGTATACTGCCTTGTGTTCTGCTACAAAGTCGTAGAAACTGTCTACCTTAAAACAAACCTGCCTCATGAGCTGGAAGCATTGACCTTTGGTCTGATGATATAAGGAGGAGCACGTAGGTTTCAGGGTAAAAGATATTCACATGGGAAGTCACGTCGTCTGAAGGCTGCAATCCTAAACACTTACTGTTTAGTTTGCAATCGGTTTATTAGCCTGCAACAACGCCTTTGGACTTTAACCCAAGATCTTACAAGTTTTTAAATATCGGTTCATCGGTTTTAATGGGTCTACTCTTGAGTGTGACATGTGGGAGGGTGTAGATTATTGCCCTGCCTTCAACCCACATCAACTGTTTTCAGTTCCTCATGCCGTGCAGCACCCAAGGCCAGTCCACATACGTTTTTATGGTTGTTTACAAGCCATTGAATCACCCTCCGTTTCTACTTGGAACAGCTTTCCTCTCCTCAGCTACGCCCTGCTCTAAATTATTCTCAGCTCCTTCATATGTACTATTTCAGTGCAGAGCCCAAAAGGCGAATGGGAATGTTCTTTTAAACATTTTCACCGAGGCAATTTTGTAATAGTAAACAAGCAAGATACTTTTGCTGTCGCCGCAAAAGCTACCCACCATGGCCTTGCAGACAGTCCTTGCATTCCAGCTCAGCTCTGCATTTACTAGCAACTTCAAAACAATCCAAAACAATCCTTGAACCATTCGAAGAGTTCCCATTTATATGGCTTTTGAAAAATGTCAGCCAAGCCCTTGTCTGGTGTCACCCAAGAATGCCAGTCTTTCTCTTACGAGTCGCCGTTACTCATTTCCAGGAAAGTCGCCATGTTAGGGTCCTTCCACATAAGAGGATGATTGTGGAATTAATTGGTGTCACTCGTGGACTTAAGTTTTTTGCACCATCTAAATGATGCCGCCATCCTCAAGATGCCAGTCATTACTTTAAAAAAAAGTAATCAGCCTCTGAAAATTGTAAGAATTACCACCCCTTCTCCACGTACACACACAACTGTCAATGCTGGAAAAAGTCCAAGACAATGACTTCAGCCCAATGCATGAGTTAGCAGTCATTCAATCTTTTCATATATATTGTTCTATGAGCTGTCAAGACCAGACCCTCCAAGTGTCCCTATTTGCCAGTGACAGTCTCAGATTTACAGAATTTACAATAATAGTAAATTCAGATTTACAATAATAGTAATAATAATAATTGAATAGGGTGTCCTTATTTCCATCGGAGAAATGTTCGAGGGTATGCAAGACTCAGGAGACATAACTGAAAACCTGATGATCTCTGGCACATATGCATGCTTGCTTACAACATTAAAGAAAGAAACCTCAGTAGCTCTCCAGAAAAGCAAAATGAAAACCCTCCCAAACATAGCTGTCAAGTGTCCCTTATTTGAAGGGATAGTCCCTTATTCCAGCGCCATGTCCCGCTGCTGTCCCTTATTGATGGATGTCCCTTAAATGATGTCCCTTAAATTTCAAATGAAGCAGCTCCTCTCCCTCTCTCCCTGCTGGCCAGGGAGGAGGGAGGCTCCAACTGTGTTGCTTGGCTGTGTTGCTCACCCAATAAGAAGTCTAAGAACGACTGGGGGGTGGAGCTTGCATGCCTTGTGTGTGGCTAGTTAATGCAAGCTGAGGAGGTTTTTGAATGCTGGACGCCATTTTGTTGCACGTGCTGCTGCAAACTTTGCAGTGCACTGCAAAGCCAGGCCGGGGAGCCATCTTAAGTTGAGGCTGCATAGGCCTTGCGGTGCATGTGATTCAGATTCTATTCAGTTGAACCTCTGGTTACAAAGTTGGTTGGACAGTGTTCTCGAAGCTACCAGCATGAGTTTGACCAGACTGCAGGAGGACAGGAATACTGGAGTGCCTGGAACAGGTGAGGCTGCAGGTCCCTTATTTTGGCTGCTGGTCCCTTATTTTCAAGGCTGCTGGTCCCTTATTTTCAAATCTGTAAGTTGACAGCTATGCTCCCAAAACACCTCACCAGCATTTTAGCGGTGGAACGCACCAGGGATAATGACTGCTCTTGGTAAATAAGGACAGTTGGGACATATGTCAAATAGCATTTCAATATACACGTCATCTCACCCTTAAAAACGACAACAAACATTTCATTTAGTTTTCATGAGCAATTTACATTTCAGTTGAAGTTTCTGAAGAGGAGCCCTTTGGCACAGAATTTGCAAGAGAAACGCTGCAAAAGGTATTTCTCCCTCTCTCAGGGAACAGAGGTACAGGAGCCTTCTCTGTTCTGCCACTCCAGAGACATATGTTCTGCTATCCCACCAGTTATGAAGTGATTATTAGAGTGGCACAAACAGATTTTTTTTAAACTAAGTGAAGGTGCTATTTTCTCAGGTTCTGCGAGAACACACACACTAATTTTTACCCATCCAATCTGTTCTCTAGGAGTTCAATGTCCGCAGGGTTTATGAGGCCATCTTAGGTGTTGGAGTTTTAGCAACATTTATAGGGTGCTACCTAACAGCAGAAGTTTGAAGGGTGGGGGGAGAAGAAGTGGAAGAGAACAATACAAGTTTTAAAGTCTGTGGGGGAAATAATTTAAAAACCAATTTGAAGTTATTCACCCAGACTTTGGCTTGACAATACAAACAAAGCCATGCTTTAAAATACAACTCTTTGAGGAAACCATGAATGGTCAACTGAAGCAGGGCCTCTGATTTATTATTTCAGATACAGTGGTATCCGTTGACAAACATTTCGGTTTTCGAACACCGTAAACCCGGAAGTAAATGCTTCGGTTTTCAAACACACCTTGGAAGTCAAACACGCCATGCGGCTTCTGCATTGAGTTTTCCATACTGAGGCTTCCATATTGAGTTTTCGGTTTTCAAACGTTTCAGAACTCAAACGGTCTTCCGGAACGGATTGTGTTCGAAAACCAAGGTACCACACTGTATTTGTATAAACCTTAATATTCAGAATTTCTAAGCAGTGTGTCTAAAATCATTTTTTTATAAGAAATATGTTGATTGAGAATTTTGACATAAAATACAGTCAGAGTCTACAGAACAAGAATAGATAAAGCAAGAGGAGAAAGAGAGCGAAAAAGAGAAAAAACCCTTTATAAAGGCCCTTTATCATATTTTTATCATATATATCCTATCATTTAACCACACGCAGAGAGGTAGACCCTCCCATCTCCCACCTGGGACCCTACTTCTTCTCGCTGGGAGACCCTTTCTATCCTGCCTTTCATGCCAGGACCCCCCTTCTCCAACTGTCCCCTTCCCATGTGTGTCCTCTTCAGTCCAATTTAAAGGACTCCTCCCTCCCACCCAAAAAAAGCTTTTTATAAATGTTTAATACAGAGAATATGAACAATTAAAATTCATCACGCCAACAAAACTGAACTACCTTAACATGCCTGTTGAAATAAAGTCTTTGTCATGCACCTGAGATTCAGCAAGGAGGGTGTCTGTCTAATCTCAGGTGGGTGGGAGTTCCACAGGCTTGGGCCCACTATACCGAATGTACAGCTTCAAGTGCCATGCAGCTGAACTGGGGGGTGGGGAGGGGAGGGGACCCACCAACAGAGACCCTGAAAACCTCAGAGTTTGGGAAAAGGTGTTAATTCAACTGTTAATGGATTTCACATTGACCAAATGAATTAAACAACTATTTGTTAAGAAGCTGTAGAAGGAGTTAAAGGGGCTTGTTTTGTTTCTATTCGATCGGGTAGTTTATGAAGGTGCAGGAGCAGAGCAAGTAAATAATAATAAGAAAGTTGGCAACACCATTTTAAAATGCATACCTTGAGCTGTCACAAAGGCTTGGTTGGAGTAGTTAACAAATGTAAGACCACCACAGACCACCTTTCTCTGGACACCCTAGCATTTGTAAATTTGGTGCATGGACCCCTTCAGAAATGTTAGAAAGGAATCCGTTGTTTAAATGGGCATTGGCAAAAGTCTCTCAAAGTTCTCAGAGGCCCTACTGCACCATATTTGATGAGCAGTAGGGTGCACCTTCTGGGGGAAATGTGCCCCAAATTGATTTTTCGCTGGGTCGCAAAGTTAAGAGTCTTGTCGTTTGCTCGTTTCTGTCTCCAGAGATAGGACAAAAGTTGTTCCGAGGCAGGGACACCCCCCCCCAACTTTCTGACTTTTTAAGAAAACAGTGTCAGTGCGTCTGAGAACCGTCTATAGAATGAAACATCCTCTCTGCTAGAGGAAAAAGTATTAAACCAATGTTTCCAGAAATAGGTATTGGTTTGCACTGAGACAAATATACTTACCACTTCCTAATAAAGAATGTGCAAGGAGCCAT